ATGTCAAAATCAAAATCTTGGCTGATTTCAATGTGCTGTTAAATGTTGTCCGCCATTGCTTCTGTGGTTAACGTCACGTTGTAATCCAACTGCAGTTGAGTTCGACGGTAATTGTAGTTCAAAATGAGCGTTCGATGACGTATACTATCAAACTCACAAATGGACGGTTAGCGCTGATTTCCAGCTGACAGCGTCCTGTCCTAAGAAACCAGGCCTTTAGAGAAAACCTAAAATAACACATAAAATGTTAGATAGTATAAAAAGACATTCTTCTAACACAGAATAGGTAAATTATGAGAGTTTAGAATGTAAAAATTTATAAAAATTTTTAAAAAAAACTTTATTATGGTCAAAAAATATTGATTTTATTTCTGTTTTAAAAGATTAACAAATTATACTTTTGTCCTAAATCAGAAAACAAGATAAAACTGTCCTCCGGTAAAAAATTCAAGTGATACTGGAACTTTGAATCCTTTTATCTCTCACTTAATAATTATACATTAATACACTATTTTTTTTTTCTAAAAAATAGTTAAAGTCAAAATACATAATTTTTACTTTTAAAATGTTAAAATTTTTTAAAGTGTATGACAAATAATGCTGACAGGAAGGAATATTTTGTTTTATCAGATTACTTTGAAAACTGCTATGCTTATATATGTTTTAGTCATATGAAAAAAATAGGATTATTAATTTTTTTCTAATATTTAAGCTATTTTTTGTATATTTATGAATTAACACAGTGGCACAAAAAGTAAAATATAATTTGAAAAGATTTATCAAACAACAGAATGAAAAGATTTATCAAACAACATTAATTATAATTTCTTCTTCTTTTTTTTTGTAAATTACAACCAAAGAATATTATGATTAATTTTATTTTATCTTTTTGGTTTAAAGATGCTATATGACTTTTATACTTTTGTCAACGCTTTTAAACACGCAGGAAGAAGCACAACAAAGCTTACATGAAGATATCGTCTGTTCTGTCTATTTGTATTTCCTTTTATTTGATTTTTATTTTACTTGGCAACCGGGCACTGCAAACTGATATAGTTAACTGTCAGGCTCAAATTTCCTGAGAATGAGGTTTTGTTGTCTTTTAACCATGCGTGACACCGAAAAGTTAAAAAGGTCAGGTTACGTAATTTGGCAAAAAAAAAGTTTACAGTTATATTTTATAAGAGGTGAAATTACCGAAAAATCCAAAATATAAAAAAATAATTGTTTTGATTGTATTGAATATTTAAATAATTCCAAAGACACTGAGAAAATTCATTAGGAAAGTTATTTTTTCACTTCTGATATTATGGTAGTTGCATGTGGTTTCTTTCCTTGAAGATTTTTTTTACTCTTAAATTAACTTTGAAGTAAGCTTTTTCAGAATCGGAATGCTCTATTTTATAAAACTGTGTTTTAGACAAATGTTTTAAAAATAATTAAAATTTTACCTAATATAACCTTTGTGATCGATATATCATTTAAAGTATCATAGAATCGTATAAATCGTAGATCAATATGACCTATAGCAGACAGTAAATATAGCTGAAGAACTATGGTCTAATAACGAAAAAGTTTTCATTGCGTTGCCTTCACCTTTGAGGCTATAGACTTACCCAACAAATTTTATATTAATTTAGTGGAGATTAAGAACCTTTTACAATTAAAACCTGCTGCTTTTGGGACTCAAAACTTTTTATTAGACTTGAAACTGTGTTATGTGATGCAAAATCTACGTTATGTCTTCCATTGAATATTTGTTTTACCTGTATTTGAATATTTCAAAGATCATGGTGACTTGGATTTCTGAAAATAATGTATGTATATTTCAGTATTTCTTCTGAAAACTTAAATCTGAATCTTAATTTATGATATAAGTAAAATAAATTTATAAATTTTTCATAGCTTTGTTTCCTTTATCAATTTTTATTTCTTTATAAAGCAATCACTCCTTATCAAAATTTAATAAGGGTTACGGTTATTAATTAGCGTGCATTAATACATTTTCAATATTTTATTGGGCCTTATTTCTTGAAAGTTAATCTGAAAAAAATATGAAGTGTTTGCTTTAGGAATTCATAAGGAAAGGAAGCCTAAAGCGTTACAAACAAAATTTTCAAATACAATAGCTCAGAATTATTTGAAAAGTAGAATGCAAAATATTTTTCTATAAATAAGGAAACTAAATCCAGTGTAGTTGAAAGATTAAATCATACACTGAAAAGTAAAATGTTGAAATACTTTACAGAACTTTATTCTAAAAATTACATTGATGCTATAATTAAATTAATTCGTAGCTATAATCATTCGTATCATCGATCAATTAAAATGGAAGCAGCTTCCGTAAATAAATAAAATAGAAAACAGGTATTACATAATTTTTTAAGACGCCTAAAATAACTTATGTCAAAATCGATGATTTTGTGTGTATTAGTAAGAAAAAACTTCACTTTGAAGGGATATGAGCAAAACTGGAGTGTAGAACTTTTTGTCACCTGTGAAATCCCTGTAAATGCTAAAATTCTAACAAATTTTAAAAAAATGCTTGATTCAAAAAATTCTGCTTTAGCTCACTACCATGAAAGAAAATAAAATCTCATCATGGTTCGAGGCTCGGTGAAGAGGTTTAGCGTGTGATAGTATGAACTTTTGAATTGTTCATAGGTTTGGTTGGCGAAATAACCCGGTTTCAAATATATTAAAATAACAAAGCTTTGAGGGAAATTTTTTCTAGTGGTAGCCATTTTTTAGCCATTTAATGGTAGCCATTTTAGCCATTTTAGTGGTAGCCTTTTTTTTCTTTTTTTTTAATTTCAATGAGCTGCACAAGTGAGCACACACGAGCAGACCTAGTGCGTTCTCCAGAAGTGGTATCCACTCTTTCAGGACCACCACAATGGGTGAGATACCGTTGGCCATGTTAATTTGGGCGTCTAGTTCTTGCCACACTAGATGGCAGCACCGAGACTCTTATTTGGATGCTAAAGTGCACTAGGAATGTTTCAATGTATGATACCAAATTTATGAAATTTAATTTAGTATTATTTTCCACACCACAACATGTGACCGATTTAAAAGTTCATATAAAAACCCACTTTTATCACATTATTTCGGGGGAAAGCTTTTAAATTGTTCTCAAAATTAACCGATCATTTTTATTTTGTCTACCGCTTTCAAAAAGTTTTGAAAAATGTGTAGAAGTTGGCAACCCTGAAATAATAATCGTGCATCGAAATGTTATTTTTGCTACACCTGGAAAAATATATCCCATATATTTTTTAGCAAAGGAGTCATCACCAAGGAGTTAGCCATATCTGCATTCTAGCATCTATTTCTAGCATTTCTGTCGGAAAGTATCAAAAATGATTGCTATGCTTTGCTTAGATATTAGCATACTCGCCAATTTTTCGAGTTTTCCGATAGATTTTATTTTTATATTTAATGACTGGCAGCAACGTTTTTCCTGATCGATTCCTGAAAAAAAATTGATTTAATATAATTTTAACCATCAATTCATTTAAACATCATATCGAAGACCAGTTAGTTGTCTTATTGTGTTTTAGGAGATAGTGAAAAGTGATCTAAGTATTTCTCTATCAATTATTATAAGTCCCGCAATGAACTGATCGTTAAGACACGGTTCCCAGTAGATCACCGAAGTCAAGCATCACTGGCTACGGTCAGTGTGCGGGTGGGCGACCACTTGGATCAGTCTGCGTAGGGACCGAGGGTGTGCGGTATTGGTCCTCGTTAAACTGTTCTACCGTAAAGTGCTCGACTTCGCGTGCAGATCGTCGGGCTACCGAAGCGGGGGTGCCATCCCCTCTGCCGAGGATCAAAATTGTGTTGGCATGTCTTCGGATCATCCTCAGGGGTGTATCCCAGACCGTCGCCAATAGCCCATCGTGCAGCTCTAGTGCGACGTAAATTAACTATAAAAAAATAATAATAACTATCAGTTATTTTTTCACTACCACTAAGAAAAACCTTTTTAGAAGTGCATGAAAGTAGAAGGGTATGCATTAGATCCAAATGTAAATATTTGTATTATTATATTATGGTGAACTATTTTATCTACCAGTTGGTTTGTCGTCGGCCTTCTGGGCCCAAGTCTGCGGGTTCGATCCCCGGCCCAAACACCGGATTTTCGGGATGCAGAAAATCCTCAGCGGCCATGTCGTATGATTATGCGGCATGCATTTCCGGCAAAATTAAATTCCTAGTGCACTTTAGCATCCAAATAGAGTCTCAGTGCTGCCATCTAGTGTAGCGGAAACCAGACGTCCAAATTAACATGACCAATGGTATCTCACCCATTGCGGTGGTCCTGAAAGAGTGGATATCACCTCTGGAGAACGCACTAGGTCTGCTCATCGGCAAGACCGATTGTGCAGCTCATTGGAAATAAAAAAAAACAATTTTGTTTTAAAAAAATAATTACTAGAAATGAAACATTTAAAGGAACTTGGCTTAAAAAAGAGCCCAGGGGAAACTGGATAAAAAAAGTTTGAAGGATTTCATTTAGATATTTTGAATTATAAACAATATAGTAGTAATTATAATCATGATACAACATTTTTATTCTCCCTTATCATTTATAATTTCTCAACTGTTAAAAGTCATATGAACCGCAAGTAGAATTTCCAAGGATTTTAGAAATTTTTTTTCTAAAAAAAGATGACAGTAATGAAAAAAATATCGATATTTTATTGCAATTCTGATAAATACTACATTTTTCAAAGCAAATGCAGCCGTTGAAAAATTCTTATGTTTAGGCGTTAAACGTTAGGGCGGTACCTAAAAAAAAGTGAAATTCTAACTAGCATTAACGTAAATTTACTATCATTATTATAAAATCTAAGAAACGAAAGAACCCTGTATAAGTTATTGAAACGTGGTCAACTAAATATGATTTTAATTAAACCTTAATTTTGCATATCTTTTTTCTTAGTGTACTTAACAAATATTGATCGACCTCAACTAAGAAAACATATCATAGCTAATGCATACTACTCTTTAATCCTTTTAACATAAAGTAAAAGTTATGAAATTCATGTTCTAATAACTTTTACAATTTTAACACACGTAACAATATTTACACATGTAGTATTCATTTTTATGAAATGGAAAACCAGTTCGGAATATCTGTCCCTTCAGTTTTCTCCTTAAATTTCTTATCCAGTCTTTCAGCTTGCTCTTCAGTCATAGCATTTTTCCAATCTCCAACGATTCCTTTCCGAAAAAAATTTATTTCAGGTAAAACTTTTGGCAAATCTATTTCAGAAATAAATTGCCTAATATACTGCAAACCTTCATAAGTCTCTGGTTCCGTAAGTATCTCACCTTCTTTTGGTTTTAAATCATAAATTTCACCAAATTTCTTTTTCGTGTATTCAAAACTGCTAAAATTCACGATGTCATTCAAAACTGAATTATCTTTTTCGATTGCGCCAATGAACTCATCACCAAGGAATTTAGCCAAATCGACAATTACTTTCTTTATATCTTTCTTCATATCCTCGTAAGTGGTGTAATAAAGATTGGGGTCATTTCTGTGAGGGTACCAAGACAATAAGTGATTAAAGTAGTCACCAAACTCCACTTGACCAGCCATAAAAAGCTCGAAAAAATCATCAAACTCGCCATCCCAGTACATATATCCAGGTAGATTTCTAGTGTGGTGAAAAAAAGACACGGCGCAATCTTTGGGATTGCGGGCAACAAAAATGTATTTAGCTTTAGAGGAATATGGCATATGGGTATAAGGAAGATGAGTTTTAAATGCACCAGGTCTTGGCATCTTTTCAATGCTCTCCTTGCCGCACAGATCTATAAATGGACAATGCCTCAGAAACTGAGACATTTCTTCAAGTTCTTTCCCCTTACGAAAAATGTAAAGAGCTACATTTTGCATCCATGTTGTCCCACTCTTTGGATAAGTCACAATAAAAACGTCCTCTGCTTGAGGTTTGTAATCCATAGCTTCACGGAAACATTTTGGTGAAAAGTGACCTGGATATATAATACCATCCATTTTCATATAAAACGGTTTTTTCGATACGATTTCCGTTGCTGAAGCCATAATTGTTGTTGTTCCTGAAATAAATTATAAGTTTAATTGCAAATTGACCATTCAATTGTTATAGTATATACACACTCATGATTGTGCATAACACTCATCTGAGTCTTAAGGTATGAAATAGTGGTTACAGAATAGAACCACACAAAAAATTAATTTAGAATAGGATGATCCCCGACGGGAGAATCCTTTCTGTCCCAAAGTCACAGGTGTGCCTCGCTCAAAGTTTCCCCCCTCCCTTTATAATCACAGATTCGGAGTTGACGCTAATCCACGCACTTGACATTATCTTTCTTTCCATAGGGGTTGATAGTCACGATGCGTTTATCTCTGATTGGCGCCATTTCGTTAATATTTATTATTTACAAAATGTTATGATTTCACAAAACAAGAATAAAATTCAGAATTTTTAAAGACTGCTTTCTTTTGCGCGAGGTTATTTTTAAAAATTTATTTTTTGTAATTCGTTTAAAAACTTATTTATTGTTTTCGTTAATATTTATTATTTATAAAATGTTAGGATTTCACAAAACAAGAATAAAATTCAGAATTTTTAAAGACTGCTTTTTTTTCCGCGAGGTTATTTTTAAAAATTTATTAATTGTAATTAAAATATCAGTATTGTAGAGTTATTTCGTAATATTTTGAATCCCCTTTGCTCACAGTATTTTATGAAACATAAAGTAAATTAAATATGAAATTTCTTAAGACATTTTTTTAGAGTGTGTTTTTTATTAAAATTTATTTATTGATTATTTACAGCAATATTAGTAAATTAGTGTGATTTAATGCAGCCACATGCTAGGAACTAAACAGGACGAGAAACAGCATTCTTTTTGTCACTAATTTTTTAATATTAATTTATTAGCAATTTAATTCTAAATAGGTTGTCCCATAATTGCGAGATCAATTTTTTTTTTTTAATTCTTGACTAGGTAGAAAAATTACACATAGGTAGTCTTGAAGTAACATTTTAAAAAAGAAAATTATTAAAGATTGACGCAATCTATTAATTACAGTAAATGTAGCATAAAAATATTTAAAAGCAATTCCTTTTTAACATATTTTAAAGGTGTTCGCTTTAGTTTCATACCATTTTTCACTTGAAATAATAAAATTGTATATTAATTATTTAATTCTGCTGTGATGAATCAGGATAATCTTTTATGAATCTTAATCAGCTTCTCAAATATTTACCTTTTGTCAAAAATTTTAAAACTAGCGAAGAGTGGAGTTTATGAAAAAAACTATTTTGAATGTTTCTGAAATATAGATAGAACAGTTGTGTTCATCAAGGCACTAACTTTTCATAACAAATAAATCAGCTATGAAATAAAACTAAGGAAATTTAAATACACACTACCGTGCAATAATAGATAAGACACTATCAGTTTTTCACCTCTTTTTTTCTTGGAATTTCTCACAAAATACCTAGAAGATTATTTTATGAATTTCAAGAGTGTAATAAATTTTAAAAACTTCAGAGGTGGTCTAAGGGGCCGGCAATAAATTATGAGCAAAAACAAGTATTATAGCATCTTATTTCAGAAAATGTAACAATAAATTTATTAACTCAAAGGACACTTTGTTATTATTTGTAAGAAGTACATAAAGTTTCGTAAGCTTATACTATGAAAATATGGACATTTTTATAGAATAAATAAATAAAAACTTTTATTTGCCATACGATTTTTTCCTAAAACAGGAAAAATACTCAATAAAATAAAAGTTTTAGGAGCAATTTTTAATTAACAAGCATGTTAAAATTAGACCAAGAAAAAAAAAACAAATCCTTTAAAATACGTTTTTAAAGTAGTTCTTTCCCACCTGCGCTGAAACAAATAGTTTTTCCTAATTTTGCAGTATAATTTTTTGAAGATATTCAAATCTTTTTTTCCCCACGAGTTGCTAACTACAATTCCGGACAAAATTTTGAAAAAAAATCTTCATACGCTCATATCTTGCGCAATTTTAAACGATTTACTTTCTGTTCAATTTTAAAATTATCTTGTAATTAATTAAAAATTTCTTCAAAATTTTTATTCAATTTCCTTCAATATTTTTAAGCTATAGCAAAAAACAGCTACAAAATAATCCTCAAATTAGGACAGTGTATGTTCTACATTTACATAGCTGTAAGAGGACCAATTGTACTCGATCTTGAAAGAGTGAAAAATTCTTTGGATTGGATTGAGGTATTACCTATGATATAAGAAAACTTAAGTTTATATTCAATTCAATGCTACTAACCTCGATTTCCGATAGACAATTCTTCGTGTAGGGGAATTTATTTATATTATGCTGGATATAACCTATATACTATTCAATAAATATATACTATATACACTAAACAGCCTAGAGGAGAGAAAAAAATCGTAAAATTCGATAAATTTTTATTTTTTGGCACTTTGAAAATTCTATATTCGATATAATATCCATAGCAATTTGTAATAAAAGATGTTTACAAGAATGTAACGATAATTTTAAAAAAAGTTACGATACATTTAACAAAAGCAGGAATTAAAACTTTAGTTTTTCGAATGATACTGAATCTAATTTTATCGAAAAATCATGACTTTATTAACAAAATTAGTTTATCTGAGACAACTCAATAAAATATTAGTACAGTAACATATTTGCAAGTTTCTCTAAAGTAGTATAGTATTAAGTTTTAATAAATAGCCGAATTCCTGTAGCCGAATAGCCGAGTTTTAATAAATAGCCGAATTTGCCGAATAGATTTTTCCTTATTATTTTAAGTCTTACTTTTTTATAAATTGATTACAAGAAATCAATTTCAATTTTAGAAGTGAAAATTTATCAATTTGTTCTAAAATGAATGTGTCAAACAGAACTATTTTATTTCGTCTCAACTTTAGACTGATTCTAGATCTTGGCCGATCTTGACCGACGACCGCTTAATACTGGATTTGAATATGTATTTTACCAGGTTAATGCACAAAACACATCAAGTGCATTACACCGCATATGCGCGCGTAACGCACCAGGTAAAATACAGGTCTAAGTATGATTATATCGGGTACAAAGAAAATTTAAGTACTACAACTTTTAAAAACTCATCTCCCCTTAAACTCTGCTTTCTTTCCCTTATTTCCTTTGACATTCGTTCACGTGCAAAATTATTTTGTGATTTATAAGTTCTGATAGAAAAATGGCTGCCCAAATTAATTTTATTAAATCTTCAAGGGGCAAAGAGATGCTCAACTATAGGGATAATCTTTTTTACTTTCATTCTTCATATAAAGATGTCCAGTACTGGGTGTGTATGCGGAAAAAAACATCCGCGTGTAAAAGTAAAGTTTCTTTAAGAAACGGCATCATAGTGAAAGAAACTGGCTTTCATAATCACTCTGCAGATTCAAACAAAATTGCAAATTTGCAATTTGTACAGGAAGTGAAAACAAGATTATTGCAAAATCCAGAGGTGCCTGTTCCAAAGATGTACAAGTGAGTAAATATATCCCATTTCATTTTGCTCTAAATGATATGTCATATTTGTATATGAGATGTTAATATAATATCTAATGGGATCTGTCTAGATTTTTTTGATAGGTACCTATTTTGTGAAAAATTAGACATAATTTGTAAAAATTAAAATTTATATTAAAACATCAACACAAAAATAAGGATATATCGTTTCTTGTGGTATACAAGAATAAAATTTTAAGAAACAGTATTTTGAAACTACCGTTTTTCTTTAACTTGAATTTGTGAAGGTACCTCTAAACGGTAGTAAATTTGGCCTGAACAGACCCCTGATTCTAGAAATGATAAATAAAATATAGTAACTGTTATGAGAAAGTGTGGTCAATGTTTATAAATTTACATAACTTCACTATCATTTTTGAACATATTTGGTAATTCTTTTTTATCATTATTGAAATTTGAATTGTAAATGTGAAAAGAATTATAAAATAGTTTACAAAATTAATTTAATTTAGCAATACATATAAATCCTAATAAATGATGTGTTAGCGCAAAAAATTTATGCTATCACACAAAAGGTTAATACAGACATGTCCACATTAATACAACAGCTATATATCAACATTAGCTTATATTTAATTTTATGGAGATAATTATAGTTTTTTTTTCTTTTTTTAGAAGTATATTAGCAGAAACAGCTACGTCAGTAGCTGCTGCTGCAAATATTCCAGCATATGCATCGATCAAAACAAGAAATACACTGTAGCCAAATTTGCCAAAAACTGTTGACGACTTATTACTGCAGGGCTCTTGGTGCAATACCAAAAATGGAGCACCATTTCTGCTAATTGATGATGGAGCTGGATCGGATAGAATTTTGGTAAGATAAAATAAATTCCAAATCAAAATAATAAAAAGCATAATATTAAAAATCAATTGAAAATACTATAGTAGGGGTGCGCAACCTGCGGCCCTTCGTCTACTGAAGTGCGGCCCGCGAAAGCTTCTAAACACAATAGAATTTTTTTTTAAAAAATGGCAATTTTTAATCGCATTTTTAAGTCATCACATTTTGACACAATCAATTTTAACAGATTCTTTAGTAAATGTACGTTTAACGCGCTTTCTTGAAGCCGAATTTATCGTAAATATAAATGATTTTTTTTAAACAGTTGTTTCCGCTTTTCTACGTGATTTTGAAAATTCCGAATTTCTATTACGACGCGAGTTTCAGATCGCAAATTTAAATAATCACTTTTTGTGCACTTTATTTGTGACGATTTCATCTTAAATCTAAGTGATTTGTGATTTTTTTTTTTGTAATTCTTTCTTTTTTTTCAAAAATTTTTCTCGGCAGTTATTGCTATGCATTCCCACGTATTATAAAAAATTCAAATTATTCTGTTACGACATGCGAATTTTAAATCATGCATTTAACGCGCTTTATTCGTGCTGAGTTCAGTATAAATATCTTTTTTCCTAATTATTTCTGTACTTTTCCTCGTGATTTTGACGATCCCTTTATTTAACTATGATGTTATTACGACACGTGATTGTTAGTCACGCAATTAAATAATCACTTTTTGATACTGTATTACGGTACAGTTTTATCGTAAATCCTAGTTATTTTTCCTTCGTTTTTATTCCCGCAACGAATATGATTTGGTCGAATGTGGTAATGAATTGTGATTTGATCAAAAACCAAATATTCTCCACAAAAAAAAATCTATTGAACGCCGTACACTTGGGGCCAAATAGCAAAATCTTTTAGCAGTATAGCAACACTGAAACTAAAATTTCAATGCTCAGAATAATATTTCCTGGAAAAACGTTAATTAACTCTAAAAAATAAGGCCAATCAAGAACGTTTTTGAAAATGTCGAAAAGCGAAACAGAGAACATAAAAATCAATC